CAGACACTCAAGTATTTCTTTTGATTATTTCTAAAAATGTGTTTCTTAAGAGAGATGTTACTGGCTAATAATTTTTTTTAGCTTAGTTGGAGCTTTAAATGCATCTGAAATTAATAAAACTCGGCTTAGTTTTTTTATTTTTATCAATACATAGTATTTGTACATATTTATAGGGTACATGTGATATTTTGATACACATATCAGATGTGTACTGATCAAATTGGGATATCTAGAATATCCATCACCTCAAACATTTACCATTTATTTTTATTGGGAATATTTAACATATTCTCTCCTAGCTATTTTGAAGTATACAATATACTGTTGTTAACTATAGTCATCCTACTGTGCTATCGAACCCTAGAACTTAATCCTTCTACCTAACTGTATGTTTATATCCATGAACCAACCTCTCCTTAGTCCCTCCCCCCAGCCCCCACCCCACACACTCAGACACTTCTCGGCCTCTGGTAACTATCATTCTACTCTCTACCTCCATGAGGTCAGCTTTTTTCGGTTTAGTTTTATGAAACAATCCAGAATTAGGACTGTTTATTGGCTACCTTCTCACCGCTGTCTTCCTCCTCACCCAGATATGCTAACACGATGAAGTTTCATTGTGCAGCAACTTGGCACCACCCTTTAGTTATTTTGACTGAGAAGACTATCCTGGGAGGAAAAGTGTACCTGGACTGTGGCAAACCTAGTTGGCCTCCTCTCTCTTCAGTCTCAACCCTGCCAACCAAGCTCCCTACCAGGATGCCACGAATCCGGTCTACTTCCTCTCCTTCCATAAAACCTTCAGTGACACATCAGCTATCAAGTCCAAATGCCTTCATGGGGCAAAGACGGCATATATGGCCCCATGATCCAGCCCCAACGTTCTTCTCCATTTGTATTCTACAGTCCCCTCTCCAAACACTGCTCTCCAAACATCCTTAACTACTCAATTCTCTGAACAAAGCAAACTCTTTATCACTTAGGAATTCTTCCTGCAGCAAATATAGAAAACTTGAACAGGAGTGGCTTAAACTGTAAGAATATTTATTATGTTTTAACAGAGGATCAGAAGTAGCTAGTCCATGGTTTGATTTTTCACAGCTCCATAACAGAAGGACCACACTTCAGAATTCAGATTCCCACTTTATTCCTGTTTTCAGAATGGTACCTTCCCCTCCTCCTCAGCTATTCCTGATATCTGAGCCTGGTTTATGCTCTGCAGTAGGTAAAGTTCACTCCAGTCTTTTGTTAAGGGGAGATTTCAAGAGGGATAAGTCGTGTGGAAGAATAATTTTTTACAAAAAGGTGATATCATGATTCTCATACAGATATAAAGTAGATATGTGTTAAACATTTTATTTATCTCATTAATTAATGAGGGAACCAAGCAAATGTTATAACCAGTTCAAAGGAGAAGTCAAAGAGTGCAAATTTATATGGAGTAAAGGAGTACTGAAATGAATTTGCAAATGGACACAAAACTAGCTTTTCTACAGCAGAGAGGGTCGTCCGTCCACAGGACAGAATTCATTTGCATTTCTATAGTAAAGAATTATTTCCCATTGCTTTCAGTTATCACAGCTTGAGTTATAAAATAGCACCCATAGAATTAGAATTTGACGAGTTGGAAGGGTATACTCTGAAAGCATAGTTTTTCCGTTGAAGCACAAATTTTTTCCTACCAATGGGAAAAAAATGTATATTTGATGCAACATGTTTAGAATTGTTATAAGGACTAAATATAATTCAGTAGTAGTTAATAAATTTGGCTGTGCCTGCCAGCACCACCACTGTCCCTAATTATTAAATATTTCATATACAGACATTTATGGTTTTATCTCCCCACTCGGACTTTAAATTCTTCCAATTATAGGAATCGAACATTCCATTTTCTTTGTATCTACTATCTCCTCTTTTCTCCTCTCCCCATTCTCACCACCACTGGAATCTTATACTGAGTTCATAGTAGACACTAATAAATG